TTTTGTTTTGGGTTTTTTTTTTCCCTCTGCTTTTTTTAAATCATCTCTGTTCTGCTGGAAGAAATTGCATTAGATATTAATCATCTACCATTCAGAGCTGGACTTTGAAATAGCAGTCACTGCAGGACTTTATTAGTAACCATTCTGAAATTTGAGGCTTGGATTAGGTTTATCTGCCTCAGGATTTTTTTTTTGTTTGTTTGTTTCATAATCTCAATTTTGCTATATTTGGCAAAATGACCTTGCACTGGTGTATATTTAGTAAAGCAGGAAGAGATTATGTGGGCCTGGAGAATGGAGTTGATTTGTACAAGTTTCTGATTGGGCCATTTGAAAATCCTGAAACAGAGACCTCCCGGGTTTCATTTTTACCCTTGAAAACACGGTATGAGGAGGGAGCGTTTCTTCTCAAGAGTAATGTTCATATTTCCTTCTCAGGCACTTCAATATTTATGTTCTGCTTCTCTTGGAAATTCCTTGTTTTGGTCTTGTTGGGGTTTTTTTCCTTATTCTGCCCCTCCTCCCCCGCCGATGATGTTTTAAAAACCATTTGAAAAACACGTATTTTAGGAGTTTTCTAATAAGATATGGGTAGATTGTAATCTAGTCTGAAGTGTTTGGTTTGTTTTTCTGTAATGTTTCTCGCTAGAAACTCGTTAAACTCAATATTGCAATTAAGTTCACGATTTTCTAGCTATGTTTCCTCCTTGAGACAGGTCATGTAATGAGCTGAGTTTCCTTATATACAGATTTTAAAATATCATTGCATTCTCTATGCCACTGACAGGATTATCATGATGGGTTTGAGTATATTTTTGTAAGTACAGGAGATTTGGTGAGTTCTGTATACTAAATCCTCTTTTTCTTCAGCTAAATTATGCCTGGAATGTTTTCGTACAATTATTGCATATCTGTGTTTCTCCTGACCAGTCATGCACAATCAATGTAGAAAGGCAATATGTTCTACCTCGTGTAACTGCTTGTTATAAATTAACATATTTTCTGTCTGCATATCACAGTTAAATGAGTTTTTTTATATGGAAATAAAAGAGAGAAATGTATTATATTACCTCTTTGAGTATGGGACAAATGGGTATTAAAAGTGGTGGTTTTTTGAAAGCACAATATTTTATTTCATTGCAAATGTGGAATTTTCCTTCCTAAATATAGTTTCATCTATCCAGCCAATCTAAATTCTCAAAAAGGAGGAAGGCTTTAGATTTAAGAACACTGCATCACAAATGCTTTTGGTCATGAAATGAACATTTAATATCATATGACCCTAATTTACTTTTGAATTTTAAGTCCACACAAAATATATCCTTATGCTGTAAAGTACTAACTGTAACATATGTAGTGTAATCTCTCTGATTCCTTGCTCCTAAGTAAATGTTACTTAACCTGTAGTTACCCAATGGCTTTTTGTTTTTCCATAAAGCAGGGAGAGATAATGTGCAAGACAATATTTAAAAATCAAAATCCCAATGAAACTATGCTCAGTTGCAGAAATATTCAAAAGGATGCTGAGAGTAAAGTTTAAAAAAAGTGACATTAAAAAGAACATTTACAGAAAAAGTCCTTGATTAATAATTTCCTTCCAAAAATCTTATTCGTGTTGTTTTGGTTTGGTTTTTGCTGGTTTTATTTTTAGTTTTTTGTTTGTTTTATAAAAAGACTGTCTGTGTTTGATTTTTGTCTAGTGACCTTGACTGATATTGAGGACAGGATAGGAATACACTTCCAAATCCCTTGGTAGTAAGCAGTCTTCCAAAGTCTTAGAGGAAGATGCCATTTAATTTTTTTTTTTTTATGAGAATTTACTTTAGGCTAGACATTTTATCAATAATGTAGGCAAGCTAGAGTGTTTACCCAGACCAAACGTGAATGGAATTAATTAATTACCTGATACCAATGCTATTCCCACAGTGCTCCAGGCTCTTCCTTGTAAAACTTAAATGAACATTTGCATCACATAGTCTATGCAAAGGTTAAGCTTTTATAGTTCTTTTATTAAATTACTTTCAAATTCCTTCACTCAAATTTTTAGTTTCCTTAGTATCTTTCTGCAGTCTTACACAGCGTACCAAAATAAAATACAGTTGGAGCATCTTACAAATCTGGTGTTATTCTATCTGAACAATTTGAATAACAACCATGAGTAATTTACTTTTCTTAAACACTTGAACCCAGACCTGCTTAGGCACCAAAAGTACTTAAAGAATAAGTTACTGTTTATTTCTCTAAAATACATAGTACAAGATCAGTTTGGACTTCGGTAAACATGTAAGAAATGGACTGCTCTCCGTGCACACAGTTTTGAAGGCATTGATGCTGGCGCTCGGGAGGTCTGTGTGCGGCTGGAAGCCGATTGCAGCTTCTGCAGCTGCAGCACCGCAGCCGCAAACGGCGTCAGCGTGCGGGCCACGAACAACGCTGTGTGCGTCTGATAACCAGGGGAAAGCGCATGGCCGTGCACCGCGGCTAAACCCTCGCGTGTCTTGGCCTCCTGTGAGGTCCCTGCCATTGCCGTGTGGGTGCAGGGGGGGCTCCATCGGTCTGGGGCGCTCCCCCGAGCCCGAATCGCGGCTCGGCTCGGCTCGGCTCGGCAGCCCGGCGGGGAGCGGGGCCGCAGGCGCCACCCGCCTGGGCTGCAGCAATTTCCAACCAATCCTGTCCGGGAAGCAGCTTCCCTCCCTCCCTGCTCCTCCTCCCTCTCCCTCCCCTATCCCTTCCCTTCCATCTCCCTGTGGTCGCCTTCCCTGCCGCTGCTTCCCGTCCTCCCACCAGCCCCCAGTCGTTTTCCCTTCCTTAGCCCGCAGTCAGTGGCGATGAATGCGCTGGACCGCGCCACGATGAGTGACAGCATCCCGCTCTGGCTGCTGGTGAAACCAGCTTGTGTTTTGAATGCCTCAAGTGTTCCTTTTACCAACTGCTGCTTTGTGGGTTTTTGATTGCCGTTTATTTATAACCCTAAACAACCCACCGCAAAACCAAAAAGCCCAAGGAACAGTTGGGGTGCTCCAGCTTGCTCTGTTAGAAAATATTACTTTGGTTCTTCAGGCCTCAAAGCTGAGAGAGCAATGGGCCATCCTACACGATAAAATACTTGTATCAGGAGCCCCTGAACATCGCATCCTTCCCCTCCCCTTGTCCATTCCATCCTAGAAGACTCGATGCAGGTAAAGAAACAACCCTGCCATAGTAAGGAGGCCAATGCAGACAAACCTTTTTTCCTCTCCAGGTGGCATCTCTGTATCACATCTCTGAGAAATTGATTGTTTCAGGCCTCTCTGCACTCTGTGTACAATTGATATTTCTTTTCTCTTTTCAGATAGAATAGAAGGCCTCTTCCTGTAGAAGCTACAGGTTTCTCCTGTCATGGGATTCCTCTATGGCCTCACAAGTAGGTTCTGGGAGAATCATGAGAATACCAGCACAAACCAGGGTGCTAGACATTGGAAGCCCAGGGTAAAAAAAAAAAAAAAAATAAAGAACAGAAGTAGTTAAGCACTTGGAGGTTTTTTAAGGGTAGGTTTTTTGTTTGTTGTTTTGGTTTTGTGTTTTGGCCAGGTTTGGGGGGGGGCAGGAAGAATGGCATCAGCTTTTTGTTTGGGACTGGTATTTTTTGAGGAGGGGATTTATTTTATTTTGTGATGGGTTTTTTTTTGTTGTTGTTGTTTTTTTTTTTTAATGTTATGGAAAAACCAAACTTGATCCTCAGGATATGCATGTAATTAAATGGATCAGTTTATGAACTATTTACCACCAGTGTTAGGGCTTGTGCAAGCAGCTATGTAGCTTAGATTTGGTTTCTGTGAGGAGAGAGGTGGCACCAATTTCTTCTTTCCACACATCATCTTTCTGTCTTCTCTCTGATTTGAAAAAAGCTTTTAGAGTAAGGATCTATTTATTTTTTAAAAAAAAACTGCCTATGGAATTTAGATAGTATTTCCTATATCAGTAAACTTTTGGTTGTAACTGATTTTATTATTATATTGGACTACAAAGTTTGATAGATTTAACCACTGACCTCCTAGGTAGTAAAGATAAGCAAGAACATCTTCAGTCAGTAGTGGTCATTGTTCTGAAGGTGTTAGTAGAAAAGACATTTTAAGCATTAAATCAGCTTTATCACTTTTCTCAGAAATTTCTTTACCTCTTGCAATAGTTTATTCATTTAGAGGCCAGAAATGTGCACACTGTGCTGGAACTATTTCACGCAATGCTACAATGGTACAAAGATACAAAATCCTGTTTTATTCTCTCTTCCTTTTCTGGTGATTCTAGACATTCAAGTAACTTTCACTGTAGTGTTTCTGAGCACTGAACACATTTGTTTTATTTATCTGTAGTCTTCAAATGTAGGAAGATTTTTTTATTAGGATCAAACTGGATGGTGCAGTAAAGATGGAAAATGGTGAGACCATTCTGAAGAGCCAGTTAGGAATCCGGCACAAGAGAAGGACAGGCAGTGAAATTGAAAACTATGGTTGAAAAAAGTAATAAATTAAAATTCTGACGTCTATTGTTATTTAATGACACCCAAAACACCTAGAGAGCCCAAGATATTAATGCTATACAGGTCATGGCAAGTTCCCTGTTGCATATCAGGAAACCAAAGATTTATTTTGTTCCTCACCAAAAGGATAGTTGGATTTGCCATTTGATCACCCAAATTATTACAATCCAGAAGTCCAAGTCCATGTCTATAGGCAGTGAAATTCCCATTAGTTTGTGTGTTTGTAGACTGCTAGTTGCCAAAGGACATTGTAGGCACAAGAAGTTCATACAGAACAGAGGCATGGATAGCAATGCTTCTATTAACAATGATAGTGTTAATAAGATCAAAATTTAGTTACTATACTTACATAGAAAAATGAAGAAGAGTGAAAAATGTTATTACCTTGTAATATGTAAGCACCATAGGTAAAAACTACATATATATTTTATTTTAGCATAATTTTGAATGCTCTGTCAAGAGATGGACTCCACTGTGACTGGACAGGAGCTACCATGATCCATCTGGTGTCCTGCTTCCAGCTGGAGGAGTGCAACTCTCAGTATATTGGCTCTGGCCTGAGCACACACTGCAGGTAACTGTGTTAGCCTGGAGACTGAGGCACAGCCAGGAAGAAATCCTGCTGTGCCCTGGGGCAGACAGACAACCCCACTGGGACACTCAATCCCTGACCCAGGTTCCTCAGATTAGTCCAAGTGAATGAGAATGAAAATTAGGACAAAACTGACCAAACATCAGAGAGTCTGGCAGTAATTTAGGCAGACACTAAGGTGTAAAAGGGGTGATTCTCCTTTATTACGTGGGGATAACCACTGGCCATGCTGACACGGGCTGTGCAGGGATTGACAGCTTGGAGTCTCCATGTCAGTAGGCTGCACAAAGCCTTAATTTTGCTTGTGCAAAATTAACTCTCAAAAATATTTTCTTTTTCTTCTAGTGTAATTAGACAAGTTATTACAGAACTAGTCATGTTGCTCATCACTCTCGGCAAAAATCCATCTCTGTTTTTAGCAGGGCTTCTACATTTCATATGCTAGTGCTCTGGGATGCTCATCTCCCTAGGAAGATGATGCAAAAAAAAGATTATTCCTTTCCCTCACAAACACTTCATCTAAATAAAGTAGCACTATCATGAGCTTTTGCTTTAGGAGATGAACCAAATCTGTATCTCCAATTTTCAGTATTTCCATCAGGACACTTTTAGCTGATTTAAAAAACATACCACAGAGACTTTCTAAGTTTTTATTAATTCTCCTAAGGATGTGAAACTACATGTGCTGGCAGGTCCACTGAGACATCAGCAACTCCTTCCACTCAGCTAACAGCTTTCCTGAAGAGAAAAGCAGATCAATAAAGAGAAAACAAATTAGAAAATCACATTAGTTCAACAGCCTCCTCAAGGGTATGGTTGTCTTTTGGGATGGACAGGAGTGTTGGGAGAAACGTCAGGTTGAGAGATTGAAAGCAGATGCAGAGGGGAAGAGAAGTGCTAAATTGCTGACACTCCTGGAGTGAGCAAAGAAGTGGAGTCATTGTCTCACTCATTCCTGCCATCCCCAACCTGTTCCTGCACTCCAGCGTGCCCTGACTGCCTGCCCACATCACGGGATGTAGCTCAGGCTCTTCCAACTAATGCTGCCCATCTGGAAAAGGTTTTGCCCATGCTTTTCTCCTATTGTCTTGATTAACAGGAAAAGATGGACGGATGGACAAACAGATAAAAATTTGTAGTCCATATACTCACCTGTTGGTTCTGAGTAAAAAAATAATCCATGTAGATGAACCACCAGGAGTGAAGGATAAACACTGGACATTAAACATGAGACTGACTGGCCATTAAATAAAAGATGTCATATACAAGAAGTGTTATTTCAGAATTCAGATTGCTTAGAACTCTTTTTTTCTTTTCCATAACATTGAAACGTTTGAGTTCCTGTAAACAGGTTGTTTGCTCTTCCTTTTGGTTTGTCTATCTTCAGAAGTGTTCTAATACTTCAATAATATACACACTGCTACTTTATACCCACAGATGCTGGTAAGAAGTTTAGAAAAGTAACACACAAATAAAATATTCTAAATTAAAACCAAGAAAATTAAGCTATATGGTGTGGAAAAGATAAATTTGTGTAAGCATTACATGGACAACCTTGAATATAGAATATTTCCTCAACCCAAGCACACTGTAATGCATTAATCCTATTCTATGTATTTGTATGCTGCTGTCATATCTACAAGGATTCTATGTAAATTTTGCCATAATAAAAATTTATTCTATATAGTCTGTGGTATTTATTCTTTGAAGTTAAGATATTGCTTAGGAGCAAATTACACTGACACCTGTTGTAGTTCTTCATAGAAGTCTGTCTTAAGAATACTTAAATAGTAATGGACCCTGGATAATGATAAAAACTTTATTATTTAGGGAGGTCTAATATAGAGAAGATCAATAAAATATGACTTAAAAGTAAGCAAAGGCTAAGTTTAATGGAAAAAATATTAACTGTACAATAAGTGCCACACAAAGAGATCTAGTGAACCAAAAATCATCAAAAAATGGATTCTAAAGGACATTGCAACTTTTTGATAAAAAAAGAATGCCACACTCACCACTGCCAAGGCAAAGCTATGTGATATCAAATACAAAGAGCAGTAATAGGCAGGGAAGAATGTGTTCTATAGTTTTACTGAGTTCTCTGTTGTGTACTATCTATGTTATAGCCCATAAATGTGGACAGCAGGGGAAAGACTGCATATAAATATTTGGGTTTAATTTACTTGAGTAACTGTAATGATAAATAATGTTCAGACAGTGATTCTAAATGTGTTGGTTTTGTCTGGGTTGGAGTGCATTTTCCTCACAGTGTATGCATGTGTGTAGGGGTTATGTTTATAATTTGTGCTGAGCACCAGGTTGATAATGAGGTGATGTTTCTGTTGTTGCTGAGCAGGGCTCACACAGAGCCAAAGCCTTTTCTGCTTTTCGTGCTGCCACAACAGGGAAAGAAGTTGGGGATGCCGGGGAGATTGTAAGAAGACAGAGCCACGACAGGTAATCCCAGCTGACCAAAAGGATGTTCCAGAGCTGAGCACTTGATGCTCAGTATATAAATAAGGCTGTGGGGAGGAAGGAGGAAGGGCAAAGCATTTGAAGTGATGGCATTTATCTTCCCCAGTAAGCATTACAGTGATTGGGCCTCGTTCTCCCAGAGATGGCTGAACACCTGCCTGTCCATGGGAAGTGCTGAATTAATTCTTTGTTTTGGTTTGGTTTTCTTGTGTGTGAGTGCAGCTTTTGCTCTCCCTATTAAACTGTCTTCATCTCAAACCAGGAGTTTTCTTGCTTTTACCCTTTTGATTCTCTCCCCAGTCCCATTGGTGGAGGAGTGAGCAACTGCCTGCGTGGCTTTTGGTTGCTGGCTGGGCTTAGACCATGACAACTGGAATAGTTTCATCTGTCCTAAGAACATCATCAATCTTGATATGCAAAGATAAATATGTATTTCTTATACCTGTAGAACACATAACTTGATATTAATAGGTATAAACTGATGTAAACACTGGCCAGCTATCTACACATGAAAATACATATCAGGGTGGTGGCCAAGCAAAACCTGTATTAAAAAAAACACATACAAAAGGTCTACAGAGAGAGAAAGAGAACTTTTGAGAAAAGGTGATGAAAAAGGATAAAAAAAAACCAACACAACAGTGATGGCTCAAATGCAAAAATGTGCAAAATTACCACGCAAAACCTTTTCACATTCAAGAAGCATTGCATAGTGTAGGCATCCATTGGAAAGAGGGAAAAGATGGGGAAGATCAAAGAAATTGAGAAATACCTGGGCAGAAAAAATCTCCCAAAACTGTGCACTGCACAGGTATAATTAACCAGAGGATAACCCCTGCCAAGAAAGATAGTATATAGCAACTGTATGGGACAGCATTTATTTGGTGATCCTTCCGGAATAAAGTAAAAATACCTGAAATATACATTCATAGTAAATTTAAAAGTAAAAAAAAAAAAAAAAAAAGTTAAAGTAGTGTGTGCATGCAAAGGTTGAAGGTTTTCAGGAGTCACTGCAGTAGAATGGGCTCATGGAGCCAACAGAAAACACAAAATAGCACCTCCTGACCATGTTTAGTGTTCAAAAATTTATACATTGTGAAGAAAAGAATGACAAAATTAATGCTTTATTACCTTTCAGTAAAGAATAGGATAATTAAAATGATCAAACACTTCCAAGATCTTTAAAAGTACAGATATAATATAGATTTTTTCCATGGGTAAATCACTAAGAGACATTGATCAGTTCATTCATCAGCATGCCAGTCGCATAAACACAACAAAGCCACATGATCATTAAGTCTGAGCTGTGGGACAGACAAGGCTTCCTAAAAGGCAAAAAAAAAGTCTCCCTCAAAAAGGAAAAAAAGAAAAATCGCAGCACATTACTCCCGTTTCAGAGCTCTCGGTAGAAAAATGTGCATTTACCGTAGAAGCGGGACAGCGGCGCCCACTCTCTCTCCCCGGCCCGGCCGGGCCCTTTGTTGGGCCGCAGCTCGATGGCGGCGGTGCAGGGCGCGGGCCGGTGCAGCGCGGGAGGGACGCGGCTCTGCAGGCCCCGCCGCCGCCACTGGCCGGGCTTTGCTGCAGCCCCGCGGCCGGCGGGGCCCCGCTCCCTACCGGGGCCGGGCAGCCGGGCCGAGCGCGGCGGGCACGGCGGGACCCGGCCGGATCCGCTCCCGGGCCGAGTCGGGTTCGGCCTCCGGGGCGGGGCCGGCCCGAGCCGGGCGCGGCTCCGGCGGAGAGATGGCGCCAAAGACCCGGCCCGCGGGGGAAGGGCGCGCGAAGAGCCCGCCCCGCCCGGCCCCGGCGCAGTCCTCAACCAGGTCGGACCGCCGCCCATATACAGAGCCGAGGGGCCGTTCCCAGCGCATTGAGTTGCGAGTTTTGAGTGCAGAATCATGTCTGGCCGGGGTAAGGGCGGCAAGGGGCTCGGCAAGGGCGGCGCCAAGCGCCACCGCAAGGTGCTGCGCGACAACATCCAGGGCATCACCAAGCCGGCCATCCGCCGCCTGGCTCGGCGCGGCGGCGTCAAGCGCATCTCGGGGCTCATCTACGAGGAGACGCGCGGTGTGCTCAAGGTCTTCCTGGAGAACGTGATCCGCGACGCCGTCACCTACACGGAGCACGCCAAGAGGAAGACGGTCACGGCCATGGACGTGGTCTACGCCCTTAAGCGCCAGGGTCGCACCCTCTACGGCTTCGGCGGCTAAACTCGCTTCTTGATACATCTTAAGCGTTTTTATAAAACACAAAGGCTCTTTTCAGAGCCACCCACAAATGTCAAAAAAGAGCTTCAAATCGCTATTCGGCGTGTGCTTTTTTCCAGTTTTCGGGTGGGAGGAA